ACCCCCTAGGGGGGATGGCCATGCCACAATCCCTTCTCCTCCATTCTCCTCTTGGGATCTTGGGCACGCATGCACACGCACCCGGCGTGTTTTCAGCCACTGGGTTCGGGATGCGAACCGCCGTCGACTATGTGGGAGTCCAGCGACATAGCCATTACGCTAACTGCTGGTCCCGAAATCTGTTAGTTTTTAAATAATTTTTCAACTAATTCCACAGAGAACAAAGAAGCTGACATATAAATAAATCTCTTCCTGCATATTTCTATTTCTAGGATATCAAGGATCAAACATAAACTTTTTTTTTAAAGAGTGTTATTTATTCCTCAGGAGTCAGCTGATTGCTGGTAGGTAGACAGTTCATAGATATGCAAGGTAAAGACAAGCTGATCCCTGCTGATAAAGCTATTTTCTAGGCATGTGCTTATAAAATGTGACATTTCTCCTTATGGAAGCAGAGAGGGGAGAAAGCATTCATGAACAGTCTACAAAACTGTTACCTTCATCTTTAAAAAGACTGCAGAAAGAACGTAGAGTTATTTTTTTTTCTTTTTAAAGAGTCTTTCTATTGACTTCAGATTAGCTTCACAATGACAAAGAATGCTCCAGAGAAGTGCTGATTGGAAACTATCAGTGACTAGAAAGTATTAAGCCACCAGTATTTTAATTAACTTGTTCCACTCCATTTCTGAGCTTACTGCAGAGAAAGAAAAGGAATTGTATTTTAATATCAAAAGTCACATTACTTAACATTTACATGTTAAGCTAATGTTAAGCTCCATTTTTTGATTGACAGCCTCCCATACACTCAAACACCCTAAAAGCAGCGACTATAAATTTGGAGCATTTGTAACAACCCAGGGGATTTTTAGAGTAGGTGACTATCCAGATGTAGGTGCCTCATTTATCTGCAGAAGCTGTCCCCTGTGGAGGAAATGTACTGTGACATTCATTTTGATAGGTAACAGGTATATTTACATAGCGTTACCTCAGCTGGAATATGGCTGTGATAACAGGAACAGAGAAACGCTGGGCCAGAACTACGGGGCATCTTTAAGGAACATGCTCACTTCCCTAACGACACATACGGGGGTTTGTCAGAATTGACTGAGGGCGACTGAAGTCTTGGTATCACTTCCCAAGGTGCCTGTATGTTCCCCAGACACATCTTCACCAAATAATTGCTCAATATATTATATAACTGTCCTAACAGTCATGAGCACGTACTGGATCTGAGGTCTGATTTACCTTTTTTCTTTGTTTGTTTTAAAGTTCATCTATTAGGACCAGCAGATGGTATAATGGTTATGTGCTAGACTCCCACATAGTCGGCTATGGTTCAAGTCCCAGACCCAGAGACTTAGAAAACTCATTATGGGTACGTGTGTGTATGTGTGTCCAAAATCCTGAGAAGAGAATAGAGAAGAGATTGTGGTGTGGCCATTCCCCCCCACCACCCGGGGGGTGGTGGTGATTTCTCATTTTCTGTCTCTTTGTATCTCTGGCAAGTGTACATACCTTATGGCAAAAACAAACAAACAAATAAAACACAAAAACTTCTCTCTAAAAATAAAACAAATGAACAGATTCGTTTATTTATTTATTTTCAAAGTTGACTCATTCACTTAAATCTTCCATGAGTGAGAAAGACAGACAGACCGAGAGATCGTGCCCTGAACAGGGTCCTGGTGTCACAATCATCCTGAATCTCAGTCAGTCCTGGATCAGGGGCATTTGTGTGCCCAGCATACTCAAGGAGGCTTTCAGACCTGAACCCTCCCATGTGATCCATGTGATTCAGTCTCACAGAGTGTCACATTTGACCTCTGTATCGTCTGACCCCCAAAGTCTATTTATTTCTTCCATGAGCGAGAGAGAGGGAGAGAGAGAAAGAACCCAGAACTTTCCCATGAGAGCCAGCTTCGCAGAGCACTGTGCTTCACTATGGGCCACTCTCCAACCTCTTGATCCACTTTATCAAATGGCTCTCTCAGTGACATGCAACTCTTTGAGTTCATTTAGTCTTCTTCTGATTTCTAAATCTTGAATTCTGGGTAGGAAACAAATTCCTTGAAGAGAATGTGACCTAGAGATGCTCATGTTCCTTTCAATTCTAGCACTATAAAATTGCTTTACCTCTTAAAATATTAGGTTAGCAAAGAATAACAAGGATCTATAGAAAGAAACCAAAAAATAATTCTATCAGAATGAATTTCTGGCATTTGTTATTGAGAAAAAAAAAGATTTTTTTCTCTTATTATTGAGAAAAAGCATATTTTAAAATTTATAAAATTTAGAACCTGAGATACATAAATAATAAATGGCATTTTTAAATAAAGTATATTAATATCTTTGTGAGTTAGGCACTAAAATAAAATAGGGATACTGTGATATAGCATATAAAATAAATTTTCTATTTGAAAAACTAGTATCAGTTACTTCTCCAGTTTCCTATGCTCTTTCTCTATCTCTGATATTATAACGGCCCTAATAAAATCAACTCATTTTTATGATGAGTGTATTTCAGTTATGGTACTGAATACACTGTAGTCTGAGAAAGGCTTTCTGGAAAGATGAGTTAAAATTAAGTAAGGGTAAACAGATCTTTTTGCAACCATGTCCCCTGGGATTATAGTGTTCCCAAGATATTTCATAATCTCAGTTGGGTCAACACTACAGTTGACTTGGATGGCAGAACTCCAAGGGGTTGCTCCACTGGGTTTGGCACTTAATAATGCTGAAGTTGTGTTTTCCCTTGAGAGAGGACCCCATAATGGAAATGGAATCTCCAGAGTGGAATTTAAGGTGGTCAAGACTCTTGCAAGGTCAATGAAAATCTGGTTGGCCATTTCAGTAGAAGACGAGGCCTAATTGAGATAGTGGTCACATTTCAATGCAGATTATTGCATTATGCTCAGTTCCTGCTGTCATTTCAATTAGAATCAATGGTCTTTCTTCCCAATTCCCTCAAATGTCTAGGTTGCTGTGACTTGCCAAGAATGTATTAGAGTTCTTTAATAAAGATAGATACTTCACAGTAGTGGGTTAAGTGCTATAGCTAACAGTTAATTCTTGCTTCACTAAGCCAAACCAAATAATTCTCATTTAAATGCAGACATCCATCCTGCTTCCCAGTATCAGAGCAGCTATGAGTGCTCATGCTACGTAAACCTTACTTCAACTTAGGGGCACAGGACATTTCCAATAGCACCCCATTGTGAATGATAAACACCCAAACAAAATGATACTTGTCCAAATAAATGGGTAAAATAAGCTTTGTGGAATCTCTTCCTAAAGTCTGTGCTTTAAAAAAATGTGTTCACTGTCCTGCTCAGTCGTGAAGCTGTTAGAACACTTGTGGGCCTCCCAGCCATTAGTATGAATTAGAAAGCTCTACTGAATAATCTCCACAAACTATCTCACAGAAAGGGCTTGGGTTTTTCAGACTAAGTGCACATTCCACATATAAGTCACTATCACTTTGGGGTTGACTGGAAAGGGGCAGGTATTTTTGCAGTCCTGGGAGTGTGTGTATGCCTGTGACAACTGATTAGCTCTTTCAAAATTAATAGCTTGAAATTAAAACAAGCCCGGGGTTAGAAGAAAGGGAAATGGTTTTTCTATGTAAGGGAAGCTTCAGCCTCCTCAGAAAGCCCCTTGCCTCCCCTTCATCCTTCCCCTTCCTCTTATTTTCCAGCTTAGGAATGACAGCTGTCAGCTAGAGGACTACATGGTTATGACTTAGCAAGTGAGTTTCTAGATCTTGTAGGCAGGAGAAACCGTGCAAATAACTGGAGACAAAGATGTCAATAAAATGTATTTTTTCTGTAGTCATATCACAAAAGGACCTTGAAAGTTTCTCAGGGGGAGTCATCCTGCTGTGAGACAGGCTGGATCTTCCTTTCTGGCTGCCATTCCTCTGGAGATGCAGTCTACCTTTCCCTGGCACCCTGCTACACAGCACAGGTGTGTGTTACTCAGTGAGAAATAGAAGAGAAGGGACCAGCAGGTGGTGTGGTGGTTAAGGCGCTGGACACTCCCACATGGTCGACTGCAGTTTGAATACCAGACCTGGTGGCTTGCTTTCTCACTTTCCCTCTCTCTGTGTATCTCTCTGTGGTCAAATTAAAATAAGTGAATGAATAAATGCAATTAAATAAATAATTATTAAAAAAGAGAAAGAAATAGAAGAGAGAGAAAAGGCTCAACAGAAAATAAAGATAAATACTGTGTTTCCAGGGTAGGTGTGGACATAGGAACAGGGAACATGGTAATGTGGTGGAGGTTTAGAGGAAGAAAAAGGAACTAGGATTTTTTTTTGGGGGGGGAGAGAGGTTTTTTTTTTTTTTTTTTTTTTTTTGCTGTAGGGCGCGTGCACTCGCCAGAAAGACAGAGAGAGACAGAGAGACAGAAAGTGAGAAATCACCCCTTGGGAGGGTGGCCATGCCGCAATCCCTTCTCCTCCATTCTCTTCTCAGGAACTTGGGCACACATGCACATGTGCCCTGTGTGAGTTTAAGCCACCGGGTCCAGGACTCGAACCGCAGTCGGCTATATGGGAGTTCAGCGATATAGCCATTACACTAACTGCTGGCCCCAAGGAACTAGGATTTAACACATTTTCTTTTTTTTTTTTTACTTTACCTTCTTGATCTACTTCCAAGACTTTGTTTTGGAAAGTATTAGAAACTAAAAACACACTATCTTAGGTTGTCTTCTAAAGTTAAACAAGAAAGAAAGGAAGGAAAGAAAGAAGAGAAAGAAAGAAGAGAAAGAAAAGAAAGAAAAGAAGAGAAAAGAAAAGAAAAGAAGGAAAGAAAGAAGGAAAGAAAGGAGGAAGGAAAGAAAGAAAATCTGAATCTTTTATAGAACTTTTCCCCCAGACAGTAGAAAATACACCTTGGCCACCACAGTGGCCCAGCAGTGACAGAGGGCTCCACAATGCCAAGGCCATGTGAGAGGATCCCAAGGTCTCCCTGTACATGCTGGGCACAGGGCACTGTGATCCTGGCTGGCTAAGGCTGATGGTGGATTGCAACATGGGGATTCTTGGGGATATTTCTCTCTCTCTCAGGTAAGCAATAAATAAAAAAACTTGAAAAGAAAAAGAAAGACAATATACCTTGATAGTCTTGCTGACTCTCTAAGAAGTTTAGAAGCCTGAAATCTGTTTAAACTAAGAATTTCCTTGTTAGTTAACTAAGCTGTGCAAGGTTTTATTTGTTTTTTTTAATTGCCAGAGGATACAAATTGTTGTTTAATTGTTTGCAGAGAAGAGGAGAGGGGGAGGGAGGGAGGGGGAGAGAGAGAGAGAGAGAGAGAGAGAGAAAGTACCCTCCAATGGGCACAATCATGCCACAATCCCTTTTTCTCCATTTTCTCATCCTGTTTGGATTTTAGGCACACGTGCGCATGTGTGTGCGCGCACACACACACACACACACACACACACATACACACGTGTTTTTCAAGCCACCAGGGCTAGGATTCAAACTACATTTTGGCCGTGAGGGATTCAGCTCTCGTAACTACTAGGCTACAGTGCTGACCCAATTTTCTCTAACTACTAACTTCATTTTCCTAACAACTCTTCTTATGTTTCCATATTTTATTTGATAAAGAGAAGCTCTCCCATATGCAATTTTAATTTTTATTTTAAAAGAAAAATGGTAATATCATTTTATAGGCAAAACTAATTTTTAATCAAATTTCCTGCTAAGAATGCATACTAACATTTAATATTATTCCGTTTTAAAGATTGTCACCATTGTAAAACACTGAGTGAAGAGAGAGAACTAAAGCTTTGATCTTAAGTGGATGTAGTTTCAAATTCCAGCTTTGTCACATACTAGCTGTGTGACAGTGAGCTAATGACTGAACTTTCATGAGCATCTGTGTGTTCACCTCTAAAAGTAAAGGTGAATAATAAACAGCCAGCAGCATTTTGTGGGGATTACTTTAGGTACCAAAAAATAAATATCAACCATGGCAGATAGAATATTCATTCTGTTCATATTCTTCCTCCCAATTTGAAAATGCTTTCCAGAAAATTCAGTTTAATTGGTATTCTTAGCACACCTCTTCAGTCCAGTCAGCTCTGTGGTAGGCATTAGGAGAAGTCATAAAGAAAGAGAAAACCAAAGCTATGTCTCAGAAGAACATCCTTCTATTTGAGGAGACAAGATGTATAAATGAAATTCAAGTGGAAGCAATTATGGCACATGTAGACATAACATCATTAGATGTTATGGTATAAACAGCAGGTGTCAAGAAAGATTATGGGAAAGAGATGAGTTTTATTTAGACTTTTATGATATATAGAATTTTAATTGGCATAAGCAAAACAAACCTTTTTTAAAAATAAACAAGCCCAGAAGACTTATTTCATGGAATGAACATGGCTGAAGATTTGAAAGTAGAAATGGATGGAGGATATACCTCCTAGAAACTGACTAGCCTGGAAAAAGAGCTCAAAGAAATGGTTCAAAAATAGTATATGGGGACCAGTTGATGAAGTACTTTAAATATTGTCCTAATTAATAGAATCTGATCTCTGAGCTCTTCATGAAGAGAATGAAAACAGAATTTTGGAAAGGTTATTGGTGTCCAGAGACAAAGTTTAGAGCCAGAAACTGTTAGTCATGTGATTGGAAGAGAGTTAAGTTGTTTGTAGTTCTTGAGTGCTTCTGTACATTTTGTATGTCCCATGCCATGGTTCATGATTTTCACCAATTCACTTACAGGTTAGTTTCTTCCACATTAACTAAACTCAGAAGAGACCAGCTTATAACAGTCAATTTAACAATTCTGAAAAAATATGTAATTATTAGAGGTGGCATGGTGGTTATGGGTGCTGCACTCCCACATGGATGACCGTGGTTCAAGACCCGGACCTGGTGACTTGCTTTCTCACTTTACCTTTCTCTCTTGTTCTGTCTTTCTCTGGTCAAATTAAAATAAATCAATAAATCAATAAATAAAGTTGAATAAAATAATTCTTTAAAAAATACATAATTATTAAGAGAAATGGAGTGTACTTATGTTAAGTAATTTAGTTTATCTGGTTTCTCTCCAATAGAAACACAATTCTGGAAAATTAAACCAACATCAGAAAGCTTATGAGTTATTCAAACTTTTCAGCCATTCATCAGTTTTTCAAATATTTACAAAGCATCTACAAAGTGACAAACACGTAGGTGTCAATCAGCATGGGACACTGAGACCAGTAAGTGGTTTAGCAGTGGTGGAGGGGGAAACAGTGGGTGTCTAGAGGTGAGCCAAGAAGGGAAGAAGGATACAGGACACACAGGGCTGTATATTTTGCAAAGGGACTTAGCTATATTTTTCTCCATAGTCATAAGCCATTAAGTAGTTTTTGTAAGTTTAGAAAAAATATTTTAATTCCCAAATATGTGATTAGATACAACACTGGTAAATAGAATTTTACTTACTATAGAATGTATGTGTTTGTACTAGTTATGTTACTGGATTCAAATAAACATATATAGAAAATTATATGAAAATCAGCTATCATGACCTCTTCAGAAGCTAAATTTTGGTTATAATAATGAATTACAGGGACCAGCAGCTGGTCTAATGGTTGTCACTGGACTCTCATGTAGTTGACTAGTTGACCGCAGTTCAAGTCTGGGACCTGGTGGCTTAAACTCACGCTGCGCACGTGTGCATGCGTGCCCAAGATATCTCGAGAGGAGAATGGAGAAGGGATTGTGGCGTGGTCATCCCCCCTGGGGAATGATTTCTCGCTTTCTTTTTTTTTCTGTCTCTCTCTGTCTTTCTAGTGAGCACACGTGTCCTATAGCAAAAAAAAAAAAAAAAAAAAAAAGCTTCCAAAAAAAAAAAAAAAAAAAAAAAAAAAAAACAAAAAAAAAAAACAACAACAACTTTCCACAAAATATAAATAAATAAAGGATCACAAGAGTGTGGCACATATACTCTATGGAATACTATTCAGCCATAAAAAAACAACAAGACCCTGGATTTGATAGAAAGTGATGAATATGGAAGATTTATTACTGAGTGTAGCAAGCCAGGCTATGAAAGGGAGATATTGTATGTCTCCACTTAACATATACCGACTGGTACACTGAAATATAAAAGCATTAAAAATAGTTATGGACACTGGAGACAGTGTGAAAGGAAGGTGGGAGAGGAAAAAAGGGTAGGGACGGAAATTAGGGAGAAAAACAGAGAGGCAAGGCATTTGTGGGACATAGAGATGGCTTATTACCTGTTGATAATAGCGTGTATATATTCTCAGCTGGACTGGTCTGAAGTGTATTTCATGTTGGGTAAATTCACTTTACAAGCTTAGCGATGCATAGTGATTGAATGTATAAAATAAATGAAAATTAAATAAAAAATGGATCACAGACTGAAGATGACAAGTATCCCTAGGAGTCAGTATAAACATAGAAATTGGGATTATTATGCTTTCAAATTAATGGTCAAATTAATTCCAATGAAAGGGGAAAAAAGAATGAAATGAAAAAAAAAAAAAAAAAGAATGGAATAGAGTAAAATCGGTATCAGGGATGGGGAACAACTATCATACAAAGTTGGGAAGGTCCGTCCACTACAGGGACTCTAAAATGTCTAAGTCCCAAATTAAGCCTTACTACAAATGTTTAAATTTTTGATAATTAACACATTTACTAGTGAAGCAGTGCTTCCACCTCTGTCCCTGTCCACCCTGTACCCACTCTTTATAGTCTTTTTTGGTAACTATTTTACTAAATACTGTTCTCTTCTGACCCTTCTTTATGCATATCTCAGATACATCTTGGTAAATAGGAAATTTCATTAGGTTAAAAGGAGGAAGGAAACCAACCAACATTTATTGGTCAACCACAACTTGTCAGACAGTTAGGTATTTTCCCATAAGTTACGTCACTGATTTCCTTTTTTTAAAGAATTATTTTATTTAACTTTATTATTATTATCATTATCATTATTATTTTCAGTTTGATCAGAGAGAGGCAGAGAGAGAGAGAGAGAGAGAGAGAGAGAGGAAGAAAAAAAGCAAGCCACCAGGTTCGAGACTTGAACCGTGGTTGGCCATGTGGGAGTTCAGTGCCTTTAACCATCATGCCACTTGCTGGCCCCCGTCACTCATTTCTTGTAATGACTCTGTCAAGTTGATCTTTTTATTTGCCACAAGCCTAGACCTCACATCAGGTGGGCAGAAAACCCAGCCCTTTGTGTCATACTGTAAAAGCACCTCCTCTACAATCTATTGCCTCTAGAGTCACATCGAACACAGCTTTTGATTTCTGAATTTCAACTGCTAGTACTACCTTCTTAACGTTTAAAAAATATTCACCTTTCAGGGTTGTACTGAGGATTAATTAAGTCACTAAGGAAGTACAGGGAGATACTAAGAGCTCTATAAATGGAAGCTATTACTATTATAATGCCTCAGGGAGAACTTCCTGTGTCAGTCTAAGCTCATTCAACATGTATTGATTTCTGTTTAACTGGTAGAAATGGCCCCCTTTTTGGATTTTGTCTATTCTGATGCCAACTCTACTCCTGAGTAATAGCTATCATCTACTTCTTATATAAAGATAAATAAATCTAGGTATTAGATGACTAGATCTTCTCTTTGGAAGTCAAGCACAAAGCCCAGGGATAAAAATCACCACTTTCACTTATCTCAAGGGTTAGCAAACTTCCATAAAGGCCCAGATGGCAAATACTTTAGACTTTGGGGGTCATAATTGAAACTACCCAACTCTGCATTGGAACACAGAAGCAACCACATAAACAAATGTGTGTGTCTGTGTTCTGATAAGACTTTATGAGAACACTGATATTTAAATTTCATGCAATTTACATATGTCACAAAGTATTATTCTCTTGATTTTTTTTCCCAACCGTATGAAAGTATAAAAATTATCCTTAGTTCATGAGCCATAGAAAAGCATGTAGTGGGCTGGGTATAGCCTGTGAGACAGAGTTTGCCAACTCTTGCCCTAAATAATGATTTGATAATCTTGTCAATTGACTCTCTCTCTCCCTCTTGTTTTTTCTCTATATTTCTCTCCTGCTATA